TTTGGATTTCATTTCCTCTTCTTTTTAGAATTTCTTAAAGTGGAAGGTGAGGTCACTGATTTGAGACCTTTCTTTTCTAATATAGGCATTTAGTGCTATAGAATTTTCCCAAGGTACTGCTTTAGCACCATGCCACAAATTATATGTTGTGTTTTCTTTTTCATTTAGTTCAAAATACTTTCTAATTTCCTTTATGAGTTCTTCTTTGACTTGTGTGTTATTTAGAAGTGTGTTTAGTTTCTGATCATTAGATTTCCCAGAGATGTTTGTTATTGATTTCCAATTTCATTCCTTGTGGTCAGAGAACATACTTTCTTTGACTTGAATCCTTTTAAATTTGTTAAGACTTGTTCAGGGGCTGGCCCCATGGCCGAGTGGTTAAGTTTGCATGCTCTGCTTTGGTGTCTCGGGGTTCATGGGTTCAGATCTAGGGCGTGGGCCTATACCACTCATCAAGCCATGCTGTGGCAGCGTCCCACATAGAAGAAACAGAATGACTTACAATTAGGATATACAACTATATACTGGAGCTTTGGGGAGAAAAAAAAGAGGAAGACTGGCAACAGATGTTAGCTCTAGGCCAATCTTCCTCACCAAAAAAAAAGGGGGGGCTTGTTCACTGGCTCAGATTATGGTCTATCTTGGTAAATTTTTCATTTGCATTTGAAAAGGATGTGTATGCTGCTGTTGTGGGGTGGAGTGGTAAACGTCAATTAAATCTAGGTGGTTGGTAGCTTTGTTTGAATCTTCTATATCCTTATTGATTTCTGTGTACTTGTTCTATTACTTACAGACATAAACCGTAATTGTGGGTTTGTCCATTTCTCCTTGCAGTTCTATTGGTTTTTCCTTAATGTATTTTGAAGCTATGTTATTAGGTGCATAAACATTTAGGGGTCTTATGGCCTCTTGATGAATTTGCCCTTGTATGATATTTACTATATCCACTTCAGCTTTCTTTTGGTTAGTGCTGGCATGTTATCTTTCTCCATCCTCTTACTTTTTAACTTATTTGTGTCTTTATATTTAAAAGCAGGTTTCTTATAGGTAGCATAGTTACATTCTTTAATCCTCCAGCTCTGCTCAGGTGCCTGGGATCTTCAAGAACTCTCTGAGCTACCCACTTCCTTGTAGGAGGCTCTAATTAGAGCATCATTCCTTAGAATGAGCCCCACCTGCCTTCCATCCCCCCCCCACCCCGAACCCCAGCATTAACACTCAGAGGATTATTTCCACTTCCCATGGAGAGTTTTTCAGACAACAGGGACACCCAAACCTATGACAACACCTCAGGCAGTGCCAGATCCAGTCACAGTGGGTCAAGCAGGCCCACAGAGGATTACTCAAGGCTACCTGAGAAGTACCAGAGACCACCTTGGAAAGAGTGTGAGGGGTAGGAAATAGAAAACGAATGTCTACAAGGGAGGATTTTGATTGAAAAAACACTTATTTCTCCTTCCCAGAAAGCATTTCAACTAAGAGAGAAAGAATGGAACCAACCTAGAGTGGTCAGCTGCAGCCCAGCTGGGCCCTTTGGGAAGGAGGAATGCTTCTCTGAAAGAATAAGGAACACTTGCTCTATACCTAGTGTACAAGTTTCCTATTTCTGCTGTAACAAAATTACCACACACTTAGTGGCTTAAAATAACACAAATTTATTGTCTTATAGTTCTGGAAGTCAGAAGTCTGGAATCATGGTGTAGGCATGGCTGGGTTCCTTCTGGAGCCTTTAGGAGAGAATTCATTTTCTTGCCTTTTTCATTTCTAGAGGCCACTTGCATTCCTTGGCTCATCACTCCAACCTCTTGCTTCCATTGTCACATCTCCTACTACTACTGACGCTGATCCCCCTGCCTCCCTCTTATAGGTACCCTTGTCATTATATTGGTTGGGCCCACCTGGATAATCAAGGATAATCTCCCCATCTCAAGTTTTTTTCTTCTTCTCCCCAAAGCCCCCCAGTATACAGTTGTATATCCTAGTTGTAGGTCCTTCTAGTTCTGCTATGTGGGACGCCGCCTCAGCATGGCCTGATGAGCAGTGCTAGGTCTGTGCCCAGGATCTGAACCGGCGAAAGCCTGGGCTGCTGAAGCGGAGTGCATGAACTTAACCACTCGGCCATGGGGCCGGCCCCTCCCCATCTCAAGTCCTTAACCTTAATTACATCTGCAAAGTCCCTTTTGCCATGCAAGGTAACAGATTCCCAGGTTCCAGGGATGAGGATGTGGACGTCTTTGGGGGCCATTATTTAGCCCACTACACTCAGAGGTTAGACTAGCTATGGAGAAGGTGAGTCCATCAGGCCCCAGCTCCCCATGGGCTCCATCCTGTCCAGATTTGGGTGAATGATCCGGCTCTTTGGATGTAAGCCTCTAAACTATCTGCTTTTGTGTCAGACGAATAATTCTGGTCCAATCATCTCTGTCTAGGATGGCAAGGATCAAGTGGTACAGAACTCATGTGATTAAAACCCCAATTCAGGTTGCTCTGTTCAGGTAGGAGCTGAATGAAACACTCAGAAGAGGCTTGGGGCCCAGGAATCAAGCAAAGTGACCATGAGTATGAGTTGCAGAGGCAACCCTACAGGTTCTAGTCCTAATCCTTGGTCTTGGTCAGCGTTCCCAAGGGACCTAAGCAGCTGTCTTAAAATTGACCTTTAGCCTAGTCTTTGCTAGTGTAGTTTTCAGTCCAGCTTTGCTGACTGGGGCACAAGGACACTGGCACAGATTCTCTCCTGAAGATGCACACAGCCCTGTCTATCTCGTTCGTTGTTATCCCTGTGGGAAAATATGACTGAAAAGACCGAGTGGCCACAGTACTGCCTACAGCCAACAGCAGGCTTGTGAACACCACTGGTTTTACCCTTATGGCCACCTGTCTGCAGAGCTGGAGGAGGTGGGGGCGGGGCGCAGAATTAACCAGAGATCCTTCTTGGGAAGTAGAAGAGAAAAAGTTAGAATGAAAAGAAAAGTCTGTTATCAGAACCCTGGTACATATGCCAGGCTTATCTGAAGCAGGAGTAAGTATGTAATGTTTTCTCCCCTAAGCAATTGAAAGATCTAAAATGGTAACTGCCCAACCTGAAATGTCTGTCTTTTTTGTGGCTGAGGTGATTAATTCAGTAAAATTATAATTTTCAAAATGTCAGCAATTCTTAGCATGAAGCTTTTTCTTCCTGTGAGAAATGACTGTAAAGTAATGAGACCCAATTCCATGTGTGATTTACGGAAGCAGCTTCAATACTTTAGAGAGTAACGTTGACCAGAAGGTGATCCTGCAAATGGCTTCCAAATCCAGAGAACCTGCTGTGCTGAGTACCGCTGCATCAGCCCAATTCCATTTCCTGCTTGTTTATAACCTGACATTCAGTTAAAATAAATGAAACTGAGAAGGTGGGGTCAGAAGCTGAGGGGAGGGGAAGGAAATTTAGGACTTGGGGTGTCTAGGCCTTGAGGCTGGAATGCTCACACCCAAACCCACCTTAACAAGATGAGAGATGACGGGTGCTCTGAGAGTTGATCAAGACGATCAATGTAGTAACCCCTCAGTGACTGGACAGGGCAGGGGACACCAGTCTGGGGCCTGAGCCTCCCCTACCCCGACCCACTTCAAGGACAACTATCCCCATGGCTTCAGGTCATGTGATTTGTTCTATTCCATGAAGTGAGGTTAACTGAATTCACAGAAGCCTCCTTTAACAGAGCTGAGCCTAGTGTTACATAGGCCCTGTGGCAGCCTCAGGGTAGGCATTTATTAACGAAAAGTTACTTTTAAAAAAATCAATACACAATCACTGCTTTCCATAAAACTTGAAAATAGGTGAATTAAGGTTGTGAAAATATAATACACATTTGTTATCAACAAGATATGTCTTTTGAAAACATCACATGAAAGTTACTCAGTGGTAAATAAGGTTTTACGCCTGTCATGTATCTTTCCTTGATTCTTAAGGGTCAGCAAGCATGCTGAGGATTGTCAAGTCCTGGAGGGAAAAACCCCCAGGACTGTGCATCCTCTGGTCTATTTTATGAAGTTTTTTTAAAGATTGGCACCTGAGCTAACATCTGTTGCCAATCTTCTTTTTTCTTCTTCTTCTTCTCCCCAAAGCCCCCCGGTGCATAGTTGTATATTTTAGTTGTGGGTCCTTCTAGTTGTGGCATGTGGGACGCCGCCTCAGCATGGCTTGATGAGCAGTGCCATGTCCGCGCCCAGGATCTGAACCAGCGAAACCCTGGGCCGCCGAAGCAGAGTGCGCAAACTTAACCACCCGGCCACAGGGCCCAACCTCTATTCTATGAATTTAAAAATTTCTTGAACACAAAAGTTCATCTCCCATTGGGAATATAGACATTAGTATAAACCCAAAGCTTCTGTTAACTATAACAGGGTATATTTGTAGTTCCCGTTCTCCAACACTTTACCTAACAATTTGCTGAATCGAAACAGTTATCCATTAATGCAAGGGGGGAGCGGGCAGGGTGGGGGAGGAAGGGAGAGAAACAACCTTATCTCTCCCTTCACTACTGATTTACCTGATGACCTTCAGCAAGTGTGTTTCTCAAACACAATGAGAATGTTTATAATGCCCTGAAAGTCCCTCCATGAGACTACATAACCCTTATAACATTAATATACTCACGGGCCTCCAAACGGAACGAATATTGTAAAGAATGTATATTTAAGTGATTCATGAAGCCTTACCAACTCTGTGACTTCACATAGGATTCAGTGTCCTGGTGACTTTTCACGACGATCCCAAGGTCTGTCTCAGCAGCCTGGTGAAATCATGGTTTCTGGGTAGAGTCCAAGTCCCCAGTTTCCTTTGATGCCTGATATCGACATGAACCATGAATCTGTGCTTCTAAACCTTCAATTTCTCCTCCTTCCTTTCCCCCCACCATCTGTTGTTTAACGAGTAAGATTTTTTTAATATAAAAGGAACATATGTAAGATTTTCTAAAACCCATATGCAAAATAAAAAATTACCACACTGACAGTAGTTAGTAGTTTTCATAATTTAATGAAAAAGTATCGGTAAAAAGGTGACATTTGAAAAAAGACTGAGTTTACCTTGGAAAACTGGACTATATAAGACAAAATGAAAAAAAATTAACAAAGAAGGTTAAGAGGTAATACTTCAAACAACAGCAAAATGTAGCAAATACATTTTGGGGCAATTGAAATTCATACAACTGAAGGCTCCTTCATTTACCTAGGAAAATTCTGTAAAAATATTACAACTATATTTCCCTGACTGAAATTCTTTTAGTCAATACTCTCCCAATGGCATTACACACGAAATTTGGCTGAAGCACTTTTTCAATGTTTGCTTTTACTCCCACTCGCTCAGAATTGAAAGGCATGAAAGGACATGGGCTCACAGACTGACTGCACCGGCCTGTAACAGAAGGAGTTGACGACACAGCTCCATTCTGATTTCGTTGCCATGAAGGTGTCAAGCTAATACCTACCCCAGGAGAACTCAAAGAAAAAGCACAGAAACCTAGTGCAGAAATAGGAGAAATCTCTTCCTCATTTGGATAATTCTAGTTTTTTCCATTCAAACAAAATACAAGACACCACACATGCTAGGGCATGTTCACACATGTACACAGGCATAAAAGAAACATTTTGAAGGCATAGCCAAAGGAGAGGCAAAACACAGAAGTTTTCAGAAAAGGAGGCAAAAACAAAAGCAAAGGAACCCATTGACAAGGCGACGAGAACAAACGTGAGGAGAGACGAACGGGGCCACCTTGACCAACTGCGTATACTGCAGCTGGGCTCTTTCACCAGGAAGCAACCTCAAAATCTAAAATGGCCTCTTTCGTCTGAAAATTCCCACTACACTTTCCAAAACTAGAAGAAAGAGAATAGTAATTTAAGGCTAAGAAGAAAAGAGAGCAGAGAATTAGAGTCAGCTTCACATTTGAAAACCTCTAACACCCCCCATCTTTAAATGGGAAGCAGACATGTTCCACCCCCCCACCCCCCCGCCCGGCAAGTGTAATTATTCCCTGCCTCCCAGAAATTAATCAAGGCTGATGGTTTGGGAACAGGGTATAAAGCAACTTCTGAAAAATGGCTCCAGCCTTTTTGTTTGGGAACTTGCCTCGGATTCAAAGTTGGTACAAAGCTAAATTATATTCATGTGTTAAACACATGCTTTCAAATTGTTTGACAATAAAAATCTGTTTCAAAATTAAAGCAGGTAAGAATACTTAACCTCTGTGCATTTTACTATATTTAATTATACCTCAATAAAAATTTTATAAACTTTAAAGCAGGTATACAAAAACTGTCAGCCAAACTTATTTAAGTCAAACTTATTCGAAAACAGTAACACAAAAACCCTGACCTGGTATAAATCCCCCAGAAATGGTCTCACTTTGGGAAAGGCTCTGGGATCCTTCAGAAACGCCTAAACTGAGAGAATCAGAGCATTTTCCTTGGAAGTAGTACTTTTGTACTTTTGTAAACACTATCCACAAGTTAGCCTTTTATGCTTGTTAGCTGGGTGAAATAGTTACAAGTGCGTCCCCAACAAGCAAGTCTAGGAACAGGCACTGGACATTTATAAGCATTAGGAGTATTGACTTGGTAAGTTAAGATACTGTGAAAGGAACTCAACCTGTGCAGAGCAAAGGAAGAGGGTAGTGAGTTTGACAGTATCTGAGATGTTGGTCCCTGGTCTCTCCCTGAAGAGGGTTTTCAGATACCAGTGGAGTTAGAAACTTCCTACAGACAGGAACTCTGGGAGTCACATGCTGTAGCTTCAAAAGATAAGTAGTTTTAGTGTCTGATAATCATGGTCTCTTGCAAATTCATCAACAATGCAAGGACTCATAATACATATGCGCATCAACATGTTAATATAACTGGAAAGCTGCCCCAAAGTATTCACTGAGCAAATTAATCTGGGTCCAGCCATTCTCAATAGCCTCTGGCAGACACACTTTTGGACAAGCTGCAATTCCTATAATGTGCTTGTGAAAACTAGACTTGAAATTGTTTCAAAAACTGCAAGCCAATTGACTGTGGAAAAACGTTATCCTTTTCACTACAATTCCTCCTAACATACGCTAGAATCCTTTTGGTGTTTGGGTTTCCCCCAATATATGAGGCAAAGGCAAAGACTGAGTTATTCTTGGCAGTTTCTAATCACCTTTGCATTGAACTGTGGGAAAGGGGATAGGTCTTGCCTTTGCTGTGGCAATCCCGTCGAGAGTCATGGGGAGGATTTTCCCTGTCTGAGCTCTCTCTCCTCACCCTGACTTTCTCTTTATTCCCATCACTTTCTGCTTCTGAATCACTCAGCTCTAAATCTGGGCAATACCCATCATTTTCCTGATAAGGAGCTCTCCCTGCAGACCGCCTGACAAGCTGCCTGCCCCACAGCTGCTCCTTGGGGTTCATATTCTTGGTTGGCTTCACGCAGCATTGGAGGTCCTCTGTGGTCCTCACCCACCTATTGGTGGCTTCTTTAAAGGACCTGCTGAAGTGTTCCATGGTAGATTTTCTAAAGCTGCCCTGACTGGCCAAGTGGGAGCTGAGCATGGACTCTTGGTTACAGAACATCTCACTGGAGCTGTCTTTTTGGGTGACATCCCCAGACCAGCTGCCCTCCAGGCCATTGGATTTGGCAAACCTGGGGTTAGGCTGACTTTTCCCATTCCCAATGGAAGACTGTCCATGCAGGGCAGCCTGAAGGACCAGAGGCTTGCCCAGCGACTGCCCATGATAGAACTCCGGAGATGGAATTCTCCAAGCAGGACTGGAATCCTTTGCTTCACTCCTAGAGTGGCTGAGACTGGCCAGCAGACAGTTATTCTTGCTCTCTAGTGGATGCCTTGGGTACGCTTTCATTCTCATTTCTAGTGACTCCTGTGGCACCTGCGTGCTCCTTACATTGTGAACAGGGGAGCTGTTGTCAGGAGAGAGAGGTCCGTGGTCAGGCTCTGTGGAGCTGTTTCTGCAGTCTTCCGGGGCTGATCTGGGCATTTTTAACTTTAAGGTAATTCTTGGTGGTGGGTAAAACAATGAGATTTCTAGTGCACTTGTCAAAGGAAGTCCTGAGATCAAAAAGAAAGAGTCAATTTAACAACTGATTTAAATAACGGCATACGTGCTTATGGCAGAGTGAGTTCACATATCCACTCTTCCAAATGTCTAACAAGCACTGTCTTTGACATGTATGTACGTCACGGGATAGCAGCTGGAGTAAGCTGAACCACAGGTTGGTATGGGGGGGTGCTACAGGTGGAAAACTCAGCAATGCCACTGTTTGCTGTGTGACTCCCAACTTCTTCACCTCTGCTCTCCCAGGCTGTAAAACGATCACAAAGACTAGAGTGCTGCCTCCTATGTCCCCATCTCTGCCTCCTCCATTTCTGAAAAGATCGTCACTAGCAATGGTTTAGAACAGGGTCTCCCTATCTGTGTGTGTGTGCACGTGCGCATGTGTGGGCACCACATGGCACTTAGGATGTGCCTTAAACAGAGCCATTTCAGACCCCACCTTCCATCTCTCCTGGCCCTCCTAGAGCAAGTCAAATACAAACCCTCGGGAATGCAGCACAGGTTTGGTGGGCGAAGAGTACGCGAGTATGTGTTTTAGGAGAAGTGGTAGTGGGTGCTTCCTGTGTATTTTAGGTCCTTAACCTAAGATAATTTCCTTACTATGAATAACCATCACGGAGGTGTGGGGCAGCTTTTGTAGTGGCAAGGCCAGCAGAAAGGAATCACATTCCTTCCTGCCAGTGGCCTGCTATGAGGTTGGCCTGGGGAGTACTGGCAATCAGTTACTTGGTTGTGTCATCTGATAATCATATTTAGAGCAGGTCTCCTCTATTATTTCGATTGCTGTGAAATTAAAAAGAGCGCTACTGAACAGTTCCTCCTTGCATATGGACTTGACCTTTGCTCATTACCACCTTACTGTATAGCCTCGCAAAAATGACAGAGAGAGGACAACTATTAGGTGCCCCAATGGGTAGCATTTGTTCCCTAAGGGTCCATGTTGAACACTTACAGCCCTCATTCTCTACCAGGGGCTGCCACTAGCTGATGCCACAAGCAGGTACAGGGCTGGCTCTCACCAATCAGAAGCCACTGGTCTAGGGGCCAATTTCCTCAGCACACAGGGGCTCCCCACTGCTGTCCTGTGGTTCTCCTTGTCCTGTCCACTACGGTGCCCTTGTGCCTGAGCAGCCCTGCTCCTTCCTGCTACACTATTTGGCTGTGACCCGTGATACCCACAAATGCCCCAGAGCCTTTGATGCCTACCTGACACCGCATCTCTGGGTGTCTCTCTTGCTCTATGGCTGGCCCTTGACAGGGCCTGGATTCTGCACACACTGCCCAATGACTCCTGGTTGCCCAGGCTCTGCCACCGACCTCTGTGTTAAATGAGGCACAGGGAGGTTGCAAATGTCACTGAATGTGGTTGTCATCATTCCAGCTAAGCTCCCCATGATTAGGGCACTGCAATTATGCTCACCTGTCTCTTACCAAGTGGGCAGTGGACTCTGCAGGCAAGGGTTCTGTCTTGCTGACTCTATCTTCTAGCTCAGTTCTTAGTCCATAGTAGGTGCTCAACAAATATTAGTGAATAAACGAAGAGATAAGAACCCAGATCTTCTAACTTCTGGGCTAAGGATTTATTTTAACAGACTATTGTTGAGATGAGTAGCCCTGGAATTAAACGTTTTCTGGAAACAAGGATTAGATCTTATTCTATTGATTTCTAAAGCAATTCGATGATTATAGAATAATTTCATGGCTCCAACTAATGGCCCCTAATATCTATCTGGGACCCAGATTATCTGCCCTAGACCTGCAACTCCCCCAACCCCACCCTGGGATTTCTTGCCTCATGAGCTGACAGTGAAATGGGCCATGTTACAATCAGGGTTGGACTAGAGCAAATGAAATATCTAACAAGAATTTTAAAAGGTTTTAAAGTGAGACAATTGACATAAAATTTAAATAGTTAAAATAGGACGTAAGCAGAGTCTACATATTTGTTAGGACATCTTTACTATACAGGTTACCTGCAGCAATTTCCTGGTTAGCAAGCTGGACTTGCAAATTGAAGATCTGTTCCTGTATTTTGTTCTGTGACTGTTTCAGCTTCTCTCGCCTGCTTATCATGTAGCACAGATTTCGGACCTGAAAGCCCAACCCCCAGCAAATAAAGAATTTTGTCATGTTATGCAAACCTGACGATTGAAATCGTTCAGCTAAAATTAAGACAACTAAAGTCAGATGGGGTGGGGGGTGAGGAGAAAAGACAGAACCCCAAAGCTGCACAAGAGGCACTCCACAGGAATTCACACAGCATGGTCAGTTGGGGGATCGTGGTTTCCATATCAATCAGCATTACAAGCAAAGCCACTTCCTAAAACCTGCTCTCCCTGCAGTGTCATGGGCTCGATATTCATCTGCACAGCCAGGCTGGAAAGACCGAAGGATGATGTAACATTTCAGTCTTCCTTTTAGATCCCTGAGTAAACGATGGCAATGCTGGATCCAGTACAACTTTCGAATGAGTGCTGGCCCAGCAGGATAAAGGTCTGCTGGGAAGACCGGAAGTGGCTTTTTGCTTACACTTTTAGCTCAGCCAAGTCTCCAGAGCCACAAGGGTGAAATCCTCACTCTCTCCTACGCCCCACCTGGACAAATTACTCACCCTTTCTGTGCCCCAGTTTATTCATCTGTAAATAGAAATAATAATAGTACTTTCTTCATAGGAATGTTAGGATTAAATGAGTTACTATTTTTAAAATGCTTACAACAGTGCTGCCACGTAGTAAGTGATATACACGTGAGAGTTAAATTTTAAAAAGTGAGCCAAATCTATTAGTTCCCTTCCAAATTCTGCTAGCAGAGAAAAAAAACATGCCATCTCTATTCTATAATTGTACTTGATTATAAAATTCTCTAGGGTAAACACAAGGCCTAACTTATCTTTGAACCCTGTATACCTAATTTACTAGATACCTGATATAGATATCATGAGTTAAATTGAATTATCTGTGCAAAGGCTCTCAATCAGGGGCGATTTTGACTCCCAGGAGGCATTTGGTAACCTGGAAACATTTTTGATTGTCACAACTGGGTATGTGGGGGAGCTGCTAATGGCATCTAGTGGGTAGAGGCCAGGGATGCTGCTAAACATCCTACAGTGTCCTCCACAACAAAGGACAACCAAGAACTATCAAGCTCCAAATGTCAACAGTGCCGACTTTGAGAAAGTCTGATCTAGCACTTTCCTGAACAAAATTCATTCTTTCTTCAGTCCACAGTCTTGTGTGCCAGTAAAAACATAGTTGAGCCAACTTAGGCTCAACAGTGAGTAAAAAGTAAACCAAATGAGAATTTATTTCAGATTTAAGGTTCATAGAGCACAGAAGTGAGGGCTCTCCAGTTCCCTGAATGTGCTTACCAAAACTGAAACAGAGCCCAATGTTTGGGGCCACAGTGAAATCAGAAGGTAAGGGAGGACACCAAAGCCCACACCATAAATGAGCTGACCTGTTTTTTTAAACTAGAAGTGGGCTCTCCATTTCTACACACTAGTCACAACTGGTCACCTTACCCTCTCTAGGTCTTGCCGTAGATGCATAAACATTCTCATGCGAGTGTGAATACTCTCCTCTTTTGGCTGCACCAGGCCATTTTCTTCATCCTCCTTTGGAGGAAATAGTGGCTTATTAAAGTTACTTTTCCGCTTCAGTTTCCAGTAGTTATAGATAAAGTCCACAGCTAGAGTGGGCATCCCCAGCTCTGAGGCCACATCCTCCACACGGACCAGGGAATAGAACTCCTCCTCCAGCTCCCGAAGCTTCTGTGCCCGCAGGCTGGTCTTCTCGCTTTTGGTCTGGCTCTGCTCTGCAGCCCTGTGCAGGGGGTACTCGGCCTCCCCGAGTTTCTGCCTGTTTTGGCTGTGCTTGAGGCAGTAGGACTTGAACTTCACTTCATCCCCCTCATCTAGGATAGTCTTCATCTCCAGGCTGTGCTCAAAGGCACAGGTGACGTGGAAGGCAGTGATGCAGCTTTTCACGGAGCACTGCAGAAAGAAAAGATGTGTTAAGGAAGCAGGGCTGGGGGGCGGGGGAGTGGAAGCCCTATATCCCTGGGTCTAAAACTGAGAGCTCACAGGAAGCAAAGGAAAGACAGGGAGAAAGTTGGTCCTAAATTGACCATGATGGTTGCTTTACAAGTACCCCCCAAAAATCTGCTCTTATAGAAAACAGCAAAAACAGAGGCCAAAAAGAAAAAAAATTCAAACTCTCCTTTAAGGTTTCAGCTTAAGCATCAAGTTTTTCTGAGAGGTCTTCCTTGACTCCTGTAGAGTCACGCTGTACCTTCCCTGTGTCCTCCATATCACCTTATCATATGCTTCTATAATGGTACTTTTCACACTGTACCTATAGCATAAGAAATGTCAAATTCCTGGCCATAGCTCTTAAAGACAGAAGCTATGTCATTCCTCTTTGCATTGCTGTCAACTATTGAACAAGCAGGTGCGTAAGAAATGCTTCTGAACAAATGAAAGAAAAAACAAAGTCAATATTATTGCTATAGCATCTACTGGTTCTAAAAAGGCCACAGGAACTGCAATATCTAAGTAACCTAACTTCTTGAAACTGTTCTAGAGTTGTGCTGTTCAACATGGTAGCCAATAGTAGCTAACTAGCCACAAGTGGCTATTTAAATTTAAATTAATTAAAATTACATACAACTAAAAATTCAACTCAGTCACACTAGCCACATTTCAACCATACTGGATACCACAGATTCCCATCATTGTAGAAAGTTCTATTGGACAGTATGGTTACAGACAATCTGAAAGTACGTTTATAATATTCTGCCATTCATAGATGCAACACATTTGTTTAATAACACTATGTACCACGCACTGAGGGTTCACGGGAAAGCAGAGCAGGAAGAAGCCGGCCCGAGACTGCTGTCCTCCTGTGCTTCAGGTAGTCTCAATTACCATTTGATATGGTTACAGTGCTACAGCTTTCCTTCCAAAGACTTCAAACGCATGGGTGCATTCAGACGTTGATGCAGAAGAAAGAGGGACAGCAATGGAGGATTAGTTTCTAAGGATGTAGGGGGAATTCCCACGGTTAAAGCCAAGCCTGAACTCGCTTGGAAGCCTGCATCTAGAGGGAAGACTGCTCAATTACCTATGTGTTAGGTTTTTGATAATTAAACACAGAGAATTACCTTGGTTATGAATAAAGACTAAACAAATGCAAACTCTGACAGGTCTCCTTATAATAGATTGAGAAATTCAACACCCAAGAGAGTACAGGTAACCACTGAAGCCTGAGTGGGGCAGATTCCATTTAAACTAACGTCACAGGATAAAGTTCCAGGGATGGGATAGAGTCCTAAAATGCCATCTTAGCCAGCCTCACATTTACCATCACTTGTATTTCCTCTAGAGTACCTGATTTCCCACCTCCGCCGCCCCGGTGCAAACTCCTTCCACTTTTCAGCTAAGTGGCACTCTAGTCACTTACTACATTCCCAAGACAGCCCAGCCCAGCTTTGGACAGCTCTACTGGAAAAGTTTGTTACATTACACTGAAATCTGTATCCTTAAAACTTCTATAGGGGCTGGCCCCGTGGCCGAGTGGTTAAGTTCAAGCGCTCTGCTGTAGGCAGCCCAGTGTTTTGTTGGTTCGAGTCCTGGGCGCGGACACGGCACTGCTCATCAAACCACGTTGAGGCGGCATCCCACATGCCACAACTAGAAGGACCCACAACGAAGAATATACAACTATGTACCGGGGGGCTTTGGGGAGAAAAAGGAAAAAAATAAATAAAATCTTAAAAAAGAAAAACAAAAAACCCCAAAAACTTCTATAGATTTGAAAAGCCTCATGAAAACGAGCATGATGAAAGCCCAAAATGTATTTTTATCTGGGCACCTTTTGTTATCACTTGGCTAAGAAACTAGCCAGTCATTAAAACAACAAGTAGCAAAAGGCATTCTTTTTTTTTTTTTTTTAAGATTTTACTTTTCCTTTTTCTCCCCAAAGCCCCCTGGTACATAGTTGTATACTTTAAGTTGTGGGTCCTTCTAGTTGTGGCATGTGGCACGCAGCCTCAGCATGGCCTGACGAGCGGTGCCATGTCTGCGCCCAGGATTCGAACCGGCAAGACCCTGGGCTGCCGCAGCGGAGTGCGCGAACTTAACCACTCGGCCACGGGGCTGGCCCCGCAAAAGGCATTCTTTAGCAAAAGATTAAAGTGTTGGGCATACCACTTGTTTGCTGTTTAATAACCAATAAAAATATGGGAAGAGAAAGCAAAAGGACTGTTTTCTATTCAAGGGGACAAATGTGTCACATAAAACAACTACTAATGGGAAGCTAAAAACAGATTCTCTCTTTCACATCAAATTTATAGAATGTAGAGACACAAATATAAATTACTCAAAATAAAAGACAATACACGAGGAAGAATTGGGTACCTAGATGAAAAATGGAATGTCCTCAGGAAACTCTGCTATAAAATCTATCTAGTTTCAAAAAAGGTCAGTCTATGTTATTTATAGCTGGAGTTCTATATACTTTGGTAGTAAAGGAGAGATGTCAACCAAGTTTTGGTGCCAATCAAATACTTATTTACTTTTTCCCAAAAACATATATTTGGTACATTCTATTAAGCAAACTGCATTTGTATACATCTCATTTATTTCTACTGTAACCACTTAAAGTGACAGGAGAGGTATTATTATGCCCATTTAAAAAAACAGCTGTATTGAGATATAGCTTACATATCATAACACTTCTTTTTTTTTTGTGGAGGAAGATTTGCCCTGAGCTAACATCTGTGCCAATCTTCTTCTATTTTGTATGTTGGTTGCTGCCACAACATGCCCGAGGAGCAGTGTAGATCTGCGCCTGGGATCCAAACCCATGAACCCAGGCTGCCGAAGTGCAGTGTGCTGAATTTAACCACTACACCATGGGACCTCACCAATTTTAAGTATACATTTCAATGGTTCTTAGTATATTTACAGAGTTGTGCGACCATCACCACTACACAATTCCAGTACATTTTGATCACCCCAAAAAAGAAATCTTGTGCCTATTTGCAGTCACTCCCTGTTCCCAACCCCAGCCCTAAGCAACTACTAATCTACTTTGTCTCTCTACAGATATGCCTATTCTGGGCATTTCATATAAGTGGAATCATACAATATGTGGCCGTTTGTGTCTTGCTTCTTTCATTCAGCATGTTTTCAAGGTTTATCTATATTGTAGCATGTATCAGAATTTCATTCTTTTAAAAATATGGCCAAATAATACTCCACTGTATGGATATGCCACATTTGTTTATCCATTCATCAGTTAATGAAGATTTGAGTTGTTTTTACTTTTTGACTATTAAGAACCAATGCTGCTATGAACATTTGTGTACAAGCTTTCATGTGGATATATGTTTTCATTTCTCTTTGGTAATGTGCAATAAAGGGTTAACCTTGCCCAAAGAAAGGCTTGGCCCTTTGCCCCCAGCTCCTGAGAGGTAACCTCAGACCCTTGGGATGTCCTGCCTAATAAGAGTGTCTTTGTTTAGCTGGGGGCCGTGGGCCATGTCAGATGGTCTATGCTAACAATGTGATTTACGGTGGAGGCTTTGGGCCACGTGGTGTCAGCCTGACCTCTGGAGGGACTGGAGACTAAGGTCAGCCATGCAGGTGGTGAGCTGTGTCTATGTGGCCAAATCCTAATAAAATCTCTGAACGTCAAGGCTTGGGTGAGCTTCCCTGGTTGGCAATACTTTGTGTGTATTATCACACATCATTGCTGGGAGAAATAGGCACTGTCCACAAGACTCCACTTGGAGTGGACAACTGGAAGCTCCTGCTTGAGCTCTCCTGGACCCTGCCCTATGTGCCTCTTCCCTTGCTGATTTCTTTTGTGTGTGTGAGGAAGATTGGGCCCTGAGCTAACATCTGTGCCAATCTTCCTCTATTTTATATGGGACACCGCCATAGCGTGGCTTGACGAGTGGGGCTGGGTCCACACTCGGGATCCAAAGCTGTGAACCCCAGGCTGCTGAAGCAGAGTGCGCGAACTTAACCACTAGGCCACCGGGCCATCCCCGTCCCTTTGCTGATTTTAATCTGTATCCTTTCACTGTAATAACTGTAACCATGAGTATAATGGCTTTTCCGACTTCTGTGAGTCCTTCTAGTGAATTATTGAACCTGAGGGTGGTCTTGGGGACCTCTCAAACTGCAGGTATATACTTAGAGTTATCATGTGACCCAGCAATTCCACTCCTAACTTTTTGAGGAACTGCCAAACTGTTTTCCACTGGCTGTACATTTTACATTTCCACTAGCAATGCACAGGGTTCCACCTTCTCCACATTCCTGCCAGTAATTGTTATTGTCTGCCTTTTTGATTATCACTCTAGTGAGTATGAAGTGATATCTCATTGGTTCATTCACTTTTTTTTGAGGAAGATTAGCCCTGAGCTCACATCTGCCACCAATCCTCCTCTTTTCGCCGAGGAAGACTGGCCCTGAGCTAACATCTGTGCCCATCTTCCTCTACTCTATATGTGGGACGCCCACCACAGCATGGCTTGCCAAGCGGTGCCATGTCTATACCCGGGATCCGAACCGGTGAACCCCAAGCCGCCGAAGCAGAACGTGCGAACTTAACTGCTGCGCCACCGGGCCAGCCCTGGTTTATTTCCTTTTAAAGAAAGGAAAAGACGTAATTTTCTACATATTCTTCAGAAATTGTAGAATAGAAATGAGTTTTTAAAATCCTTTCCTTAGAGGGAAAATGCTACCCTTATATATTCACACGTGTAAGGGGAGCTTCTGCGGGATGAGAATTGGATCAGATAGGGTGGTTGGAATAAATATCGTGAAAAAGAGCATCTAGGAATTAAGGTGCTTCTTGCCTTTTTAAAGAAATATTTTGTCACCCCTGAAAAGAAAATAGTGTGTCCTTCTCAAAAGCAGATGATACCCTCCTGGAACACCGAGGGCCTGGAACATATATCGTCAGCAGTTCTTGTCCTGTT